TCAAAACTAATGATAAATAATTAAGATAGCTTAATTTGTTAATTAATTAAGATTATAATATTATTTTTATCAAATTAAAATTTTAAAAAAATCTTTTACATGTAAAAATTTTAAAAATATATTTTCTCTATCTTAAAATAATAAACATTTTTGAATTTATCTTTAAATTAAGGATTTAGAAACAATTTCTATTATTACATATTTTATCCTTAAAAAAGAAATAAAAATAAATAACTTTTTTTTTTAAATAATGATAAATAAGACTAAAATTTGGAACTAAAATTTAACTTATGTTATGTTATTTAAAATATTAAAAAATAGATATTAGATTATTTAATGATTATTTTTTTAAGATATGTGATATTATATGCATTAACTAATTTAATGATATAATTTATATTATGTCATTAGTTTTAAATTTTCATCCTCCCTATCATTACTCTTTTATAATAAGAAAAATTTTTAAATTTAAGATATAATCATAAAATTAAAGTAGAAATAAAAATTTTACTTCCTTTAAAGTATAAAAAAAAAATCACTATTATTTTAAGATAAATTCTAAATAAAAAATACTTATTATTGTGGGATGTAAGGAATACATTTTAACTTGAATCCATTTATTCCAAAATAATTATCACTTTATAATTTTAAATTTGTCTCAAATTATTTTTTTTTAATTTTTCAAGGTAAACAAATCTATTTTTTTACCTTAACCTTATTATTATCTATTTACTTTAATTAATCATTCCATCACAAAATTTTTCTCTTCATCTTTTATTTCTTTTTAAGGGTAATATAAGTAAACATAAATTATCCTTAAATTCTTAATTTGAAAAAAAAAAGTTATTTTAACAAAGAGATAATACAAATAAAATTAATTTTTTGAACTAAATAAAAAAAGAAGTGATATAATTTTATCCTAATAATCAATGATGAATTTTTTAGTTGTTAATCAAAATTAAAACATATAAATTTATTACAAAATTAAAAATCAAAAAAGGTTAAATGCTAATTTTGGTCCCTCAACTTTATTGCACATTTTTGGTCCCTCAATAAATTTTTGCACTTTTTTGATCCCCTAACTCTAAAAATTGCACAATTTTAATCCTTCCGTTAATTAAGTGACACTTGGCAGTTAAATATTTCAGAATGGCACTTTTTAATGACGTGGCAATGACAACTTATACAATTAGCTTACGTGGAGTATGCCAAATCAGACTTAATTGTCCTTCTTAATCTTTTTTAATTCTTTAAATATAAAATTACTAAAATGCCCTTAATCTATTCTTCTTTCCATCGTTCTCCTCTGTGCTCTCTTTGTTCTCCTTCCCACCGCCACCGTTTTCAGCCATTTTTCCTTTGGTTGTCACTGTTTCTCTTCTCCCTTCCCCTCATCCCCTTCTTGGGCATGATTGGGTTCGTGAAGAACCCAAAGATGATCTGGGTTTGTCGCGAACCCAGTTATGGGTTCGTCATGAACTAAGAATGCCTTTTTCATCCTCTTTCATTCAGTACTCCACAATTAAAAGCAACATAAAATTTTAGAAGAAATGCCACTGTTTCCTCCATAAATCTACTTTACCTTATTTCTATCCTCTGCAAAACGCATGTGTGAATCACCATGAATGAGAGAGTTAGCATACATCTTCCTACAAAAACAAGGAATTAATAATAAACATTGTGGGTTTGCGACAAAGAATCAAACTGACAATGAATCACCATGAATCAAACTAGACTCTAACATAAATATTTTCAATAAATTTTACCTAATCTATGGCAATAAAGGAATGGGTTTGCGACGAACCTAGAAGAGATCTGGGTTCGCGCCGAACCCAGAGCAAACTTGGGTTCGCGACAAACCCAGAGCAGACCTAGGTTCGCGTCGAACCCAGAGCAGAGCAGACTTGGGTTCGCGACAAACCTAGATCTGCTCTGGGTTTGCGTCGAACCTAGAGCAGAGTAGACTTGGGTTTGTGACGAACCTAGATCTGCTTTGGGTTCCTCATGAACCCAGTCATGGCCAAGCTGATGAGGGGGAAGGGGAGGAAAAATGGCTGGAAATGGTGGACGAACCCAGATCATCTCTGGGTTCCTTATGAACCCAGTCATGGCCAAGCTGATGAGGGGGAAGAGGAGGAAAAATGACTGGAAATGGTGGCGGTGGCAAGATGAACAGAGAAAGCACAAAGGAGAACCATGGCAAGAAGAATAAATTAAGGGCATTTTAGTAATTTAATATTTAAAGAATTGAAAAAAATTTAAAAAAACAATTAAGTTTGACTTGGCATACTCCACGTAAGCTAATTATATGAGTTGTCATTGCCACATCATTAAAAAGTGCCATTCTGGAATATTTAACTACCATGTGTCACTTAACTGACAGAAGGATTAAAATTGTGCAGTATTTAGAGTTAAAGGATCAAAAAAGTGCAAAACTTTGTTGAGGGACCAAAAATGTGCATTTCATAAAGTTAAGGGACTAAATTTAGCATTTAACCATCAAAAAATATAGAAAAAATCTTGCTAAGAAAATAAAATGGTTTGAATATAAAACCTAATTAAAAATTTTGTGAAGTTTTTGAGGTTAAAGTGTAATTTTTCAAAACTGTATGTGTCACATTCTGTTAAACAAACGAACGGGCAGTTTATTGGACAAATGAATTTGACATGATTTTCAAAGTTTATGAATGATTTTGAAAGAAACTAAATTTTTTAGATTAAAGTGAAAAGAGAGTAATGGTTAGTGGATGAAAAATTAAATTTAGCCTATTAATAGAGAAAGGTAAATTGGGACCATCAGGCTTGCTTTGGAGAGGGGAGA